AGCCTTAGTAGTGGACACTTATGAGATAAATTTTTAGGTGTGACGAGAACACAAGTGATGTACCACATGTTTTAATAGGAGTGGTGAGAAATTTTATTTTTTAAGTTATTAACTTTTTAACACATATATCCCGTAATTTGTATAGTGACACGTGGTGTACCACCCCGTGCACTAGTCACACTGAAAAATCTCTCCACTTATGGAGCTCGTGACACAACACCTATAAGGAAGAAAATAAATGTTATGAGGCATGTATTTGTGATTTGTGCAAGTGTTATGTTTTAAATTGTGAATCGTTAGCTTTTGTGAAATTGACAGAAATAATGAATTCAAAAATTCCAATTCTTGAGCTGATTAATATCAAATAACGGCAACATGCGGATCAAGTATTAAAAGTGATTATTACAACAATTGGAATTTGCATTTCATCATATTTCAGTGAATTTTTCATTTTCTTCTTCTGTTTTTAGTGCCATTTTGTTTTATTTTCATGTGATTTACATGATCTCTTGCTTGGTTCAACGTGATATGGAGAAAAATTTAACTATACCAACTTCATCCTCTCTCAGGCTCTCACAATCTGTTTTTGTAAGAAGAGAGATAAAGAGATAGAAGGTATGAACTCGTGACACGCAAATGTCTCTCTCAATACGATAGATAAGTTTGGGATTTCACCGACCATTATATTTTTGGGCCATCACAGGCTCGAATGTTAGATGACACTCATGTCTTATTAGGCCTTTTTGTTTTGGGCCAGATTTCGTGTAAAAGAAAATAAGAAAGGATGCACATGATAAGGGTGATTCCTGTGACTAACTCCATGAGGTTATTTGGGTTGCTTTCTCATTTAATTTTCTGTTAGTGCGGTGATGTGGAACATGAGCGAGTTTTAAGTATTCAATTCTATCATTCTATCATGTCACGTGAATTAATCATACAACTAAACTTTTATTTACAAAAATTAAAAAATTAAAAATTAATGAAAACAGAAAGGGGAACTAAACATCATCGTCTTTAATCATGTTCCCACCAGAGTTGGAGCGAGCAAGTTTAATGTGAGGGCCTTTTGCTCGTCACTCTCTATCTTTCGCTTCGTTTCGCCAAATCCAAGGTGAAGAAAGTTCTGGCCGTCACGAAAACGATGCCTTGAACGGTCGCCGACTACCAAGAACATTTAGGTATCAAATTGATGAATTTTCTATATAAGTTACCATTTTAATTGAAAGGTTCAATTTTAGAAACAACCGTGATGAAAATACCATTATTCATGCTAAAAATTGAGTATTCAATAAAAAATCATCCTTATATTGACTATTGTAGGAAGATTCGTATTTTCTATTAAAAATGATAGGATATTCAGTTCTTCAACATACTGTAACCTACAAACAAGAAGTCACAATGGATCTCAACTAGATATAGAGCTCACTAAAAGTATATCATTCTCACATTCATGTGACCTAAACCTAAGACATTCTTCTTTCAAGTGGATATCAGTTCACGATTAATCATGTGTCATGATAGTTTAGTGTGTTATGTTGAATAAACTTGTGATTTCACCCCGAGTGCATAAACATTATTAATTTTCATCATTGCCTGATTGTTTTATCAGTTACAATCAAAATGACATCTAATTCTTTTATCGGTTACAATATGAAAATGACGTTTACAAGTCATTGAACATGTGAACGAAACCCAATCAATGATTCAACGGTGGTCCCCAACCAAAAAAAGGAAGAAACCAAATCAGTGGTCAGTAGCAATTACCAATTACCAATTACCACTTTCCCACTACTACTACATAACGTAACGCCCATTGAAATGTGGATGGTTTTCAACTTTTAATCATTCCTAATCCTAATCAAACAAAAGCCAAACAGTATTAGTAGATTTAATTAACAATTAGTCATATGTCATTTTCACCCAAACTTCTTTCAGCTATTTTAAAAGCATTTCCAGACGAGTCTTTAATAGCAAAGAAAAATAATTATAAGCGTAATGTCAATAAAAAATGTTAGATAAATGTTAAGGAAGCTCTCTCAAAAGTTGGACTCTACGTAAACTCTCAAACAGCTTCTGTTTTTTGCACAATATTTTATCACGTTGGCATGAATATTGTGAAAGAAAACATAAATGGCGGATAGCCTCATTTTTGAGGAATAAAATTTCGAAGTTGCCTTAATTAACTTGGGAATTAAGCTAAACTCTCAGATAGCTTATGTTTTTGCCACAATATTTTATCGACTTGCCAATCAGTGATTGTTTAGCCTTAATCTCCCGTCGTTTCTAGATGTATCCCGAATGGTTAGGAATCAAGCTATATCCACGACCACCAAATCAAACGACGCCGTCTGTATCGAATACGACGAAACACGGAAGCTCGCTCGTTCGAATCGATTCCGTTGAAAGCACAAGTCCTTCAAATAATAGCCGGCCAGAAAGAAGGTGAAGAAATAGAGAGAGAAAGAGAGAGAAAGGTGAGCATTAATGGCGGCAGAGAAGCAAGTGATGGTGATCGGGGCGGACGACAGCGAGGAGAGCCATTACGCTCTGGAATGGACTTTGGATCACTTCTTCAAGCCTTTAGGCGGCGACACAGCTCCGTTCAAGCTCATCATCGTCTACGCCAAGCCATCGGTTTCCGCCGTCGTTGGCTTCGCCGGCCCCGGTAAGAATCCCGACTGCAACGGGAAGTGATCTGTGAAAACCTTTGTGTCTTACCTGCTGATTAATCAATTGTTTGTTTAGCTAATTATGATTAGCTAATTTGCTTGTTGTGCCGAATTGCAGGAGCGGCGGAGGTTCTGCCGATCGTGGACTCTGATTTGAAGAAGATGGCTGCCCGTGTAACTGAGAAGGCCAAGGAATTTTGCGCTTCTAAATCGGTATTTGTCAAATTTTATTTATTTATTTTGGATTTTTATCACAAACCGTCTCTGAAATTGACTCAAACTATCAAACTATCAAGATAGTCGCTAAAATTGAAATTAAACGAAGGTCAATTTGTATAATTTATAAAGGATATCGAACTTGAGCATAAGCAGGCGACAACTAACCTAACTCACATCTGTAACGTTTTTCTATATGAGCGTTTCCGGCATATACTTAAAAAGGAGATTTGAAATTCTTACGCTATCATAGATCAAAACGGAACCTAATGATCGCACACCGATGTGATACGAAGAAGTTGCGTTTCGCTGGCGGCTTTTCTGAGCATTACATGTTCTAATGGTTGCAGGTGACCGATGTGGTCGCGGAGGTTGTGGAAGGAGATGCTAGGAACGTACTGTGTGAGGCTGTTGAAAGACACCACGCATCCATCTTGGTTGTGGGAAGTCATGGCTATGGTGCCATCAAAAGGTATTCCCTCAAACTTGTTCCAACCATTTCGATCGAGTGGAACAACCATCGCTGATTTGTGTGATTAAGTTTGAGCCGAGCTTGATGATACTTGTTTTCTGTGGAAAATTTAATGCTTTGTTTGGTTCTGGTGCAGGGCGGTTCTGGGAAGCGTAAGCGACTACTGCACTCATCACGCTCACTGCACCGTGATGATTGTGAAGAAGCCTAAAATCAAGCACTGACTGGCCTCTGGGGTTCAGTTAAGCACGACGAACTCAGATTCGTGTTTGAAAAATTGCTGATATATAGATAATAAATTTGTCCCCTTGAGAGTTGAATCTTGAAAGGTTGTATGTTTATATACTTTGTACTTATGGTTTGATCGTTCAAAATTCAGAGTATGGCATGTATTTTATAGGTTGAAACAAGATTCCGAGATTTAGTAATCAACTACCGAATTAGAATACTTATTTCCCGCTCAAAGTGATTAGAAATGACTAACTCCCTTCCTGATAGACTCAAATATGAAAGCAAAATGCTTCACAGAACTCAAAGGCTAATAAGTTTTTATCTCTATATATATACCCATACACGCATACGTACATGTAGAAAAGTCGGAGATGCACCGACCGGATTAGAGTCCAATCTCCGGTAATTCTCGTCGGGACCAAGCTTGCGCTCGAGCCCAAAGTAGGAGTTCTCGAAGAGGACGCCAAAGTGGTGGAGGCCAGGGCAGCAGACAGCGACCTTGTGAAGGGAGGCCCAGCCGCCGGAGGCTCCTGAGGCTCGGAGGAGCCGGTAAGGAGATCAGAGATGACGGAGGGGATGACCTTGTAGCACTCGGTCTTCCAGCAGACGTTACGGATCAAGGCGGAAAACTCGGTGCAGGAGAACTTAAGAAATAAAACTTGGTGCGGGAGAACTTACCTCATCAATAATTATTGCACATCAAGTGAACTTCTTTACCAGTTTTCACTTATGGTGTAGTTTGTTGCTGTTAGATTCGGTTAAGGGCATGAGATGCTTTTGAATGTGATTATGATTTTGTCAATCGAGAAAAGTACTATTCTCATCGTCATGTATCAAAAGTTCGAATTAGCTGTCGAGAAAAGTACCATTCTCTTCGTCTCATTGAGAAGTATGATTTTCGTTTTTGAATTATTCGATTTTGTAGACTTAAAAAAGTTATGAACGTTTAAAATTTATTCAGTTTTTTATAAGTTTTCCAGTTTTTCCGCTGATCAGTCATCTTTCAGGCTATTTTTCGGCCATCTCCAGCAACCATTGGTCTTCCAAATAAGTATAATCTTGTTCTACACTTTCTCATCTTCATTTTGATATATTATGTGTCGAATTTGGTTAAGAAATGATTGAGTTATAAAACTTTGAAAATTGTCCAAACTTCTGGCCAAGAGTTTCGGCACACTTAACGGAGTTTTTAACGAAATGACCAAAATAATGGATGGTGAATAATCTCACACACCATTCCTATTGATTTTCAATCTCAAAGGCTAAAATAATAAATGGTGGATAATCTCAGACATCATTTCAGATAAATTTTATTTCTTAAGTTATCAACGTTCTGATATACATATTTGATGATTTGTATAATAAATGTACCATCCGTATCATTGAAAAATCTTTCCATTTAAATAATAGCCGGCCAGAAAGAAGAAGGAACTAGAAACGAGAACACAACAAAGAAGGTGAAGAACTAGAGAGAGAGAGAGAGAGAAAGGTGAGCATTAATGGCGGCAGGGAAGCAAGTGATGGTGATCGGAGCGGACGACAGCGAGGAGGGCCATTACGCTCTGGAATGGACTTTGGATCACCTCTTCAAGCCTTTGGGCGGCGACACAGCTCCGTTCAAGCTCATCATCGTCCACGCCAAGCCATCGGTTTCCTCCGTCGTTGGCTTCGTCGGCCCCGGTAAGAGTCCTAACTGCAACGGGAAGTGATCTCTGAAAACCTTTATGTCTTACCTGCTAATTAATCAATTGTTTGTTTAGTTAATTATGATTAGCTAATTTGCGTGTTGTGCCGAATTGCAGCAGGGGCGGAGGTTCTGCCGATCGTGGACGCTGATTTGAAGAAGATGGCTGCCCGTGTAACTGAGAGGGCCAAGGAATTTTGCGCTTCTAAATCGGTATTTGTCAAATTTTATTTATTGGACTTTTATCACACACCGTCCTTGAAATTGACCCAAACTATGGTCCCTAAAATTGAAATTCGATCAATATAATCTCTGAAAACGGATGTCAATTTATATAATTTATAAAGGATATCGAACTTAAGCATGAGCAGGGTGAACGCAATGATATGAACAACTCACATTTGTAACGTCTTTCCATATGAGCGTTTCCGGCATATATTCAAAAAGAGATTTGAAATTCTTACGCTATCATATGTCAGAACGGAACCTAATGATCTCACACCGATGTGATACGAAGAAGTTGCGCTTTCGCTGGCAGCTTTTCTGAGCATTACATGTTCTAATGGTTGCAGGTGACCGATGTGGTCGTGGAGGTTATGGAAGGAGATGCTAGGAACGTTCTGTGTGAGGCTGTTGAAAGACACCACGCATCCATCTTGGTTGTGGGAAGTCATGGCTATGGAGCCATCAAAAGGTTTTCCCTCAAACTTGTTCCAACCTTTTCGATCGAGTGGAACAACCATCGCTAATTTGTGCGATTAAGTTTGAGCCGAGCTTGAGGTTACTTGTTTTCTGTGGAAATCTTAATGCTTTGTTTGGTTCTGGTGCAGGGCGCTTCTGGGAAGCGTAAGCGACTACTGCGCTCATCACGTTCACTGCACCGTGATGATTGTGAAGAAGCCAAAAACCAAGCACTGAGTGGCCTCTGGGTTCAGTTAAGCACGACGAACGCATATTCGTGTTTGAAAAATTACGATATTTAGATAATAAATTTGTCCCCTCGAGAGTTGAATCTGGAAAGGTTATATGTATATATACTTTGTACTTATGGTTCGATCGTTCAAAATGCAGCGTATGGCATGTATTTTATAGGTTGAAGGATGAAGCTTTCAAACTTCTGTATGACGAGTTGAATCTTGACAAGATGAAGCTTTCATGGCAACACAACAATTGAGAAAAATGGAGCCAATAGCCATCAGTTGGAAATTAAAAGATTAGGCAAGTCAGACTACAAGTAAAGTTTGGTCTTCGGACTACAAACGCAGCAGTCAACTCTCTTATTAGTGCAAAACATATAGAAAGAATCAAGATTCCGAGACTTAGTCATCAACTACCGAATTAGAATACTTCTTTCCTGCTCACAGCGATTACAAATGACTAAGGGCTGGTTTGGTATTGCTGTGTTTTAAAAAAAAAAAACTGCTTCTACTGTGATGTGGGAATAAGCAGTTGTGAAATAAAGTAACGGAGTGTTTAGTAAACTTTTTTGTAAAAGTGCTTTTGGAAAAAAAAACAGTATTATAGTGTTTGATAAACTTTTATGTAAAACAGATATGATTATATGAAATAACCAAAAAATGTATAATACTAGATGTGCCATTAATTTAATTTTCTTAAGTCTTACCCCTTTATTTTCTCCATTTGCATCGAGAAGTCTCTCCAACTACCCCACTACTGAAACAGACTTTCCAAAAACCAAAAACGTCTCTCAAGAAGTCTCCCTCAAAACCCCAATTCTCTCAGTTTTTTTTTTTTTTTTTGTGGCTCCGTCTTCTTCTTTTTTATTTTCTGCTCCGTTCCTTAATCTTTCTCACCTGTCATCTGATTTGCAATACATACATGGTCTAGCTGCTTGAGGAGTTCATTATATACATCAAGTAGGGCCAACGCTCCACGATGCTGGTTTTTTTCTTCTTCCAGGACTAATTATTTTTTCTTTTTGAAACTATATAGTGTGAATTTGATCATACGAAGTAGTTTCCTGTATTTAATTTTGGGTATTTGGAATAATTGAGTTTTGATGTCTGTTTGGGCAATCTGGGCTCTCTTAATTTGCAGAAATACAAAGATCAGTAGCCTGTAAGCGACGCAATCTGGGAAATCTGGGCAAATATGCGATGCCTAAGCCGAATCTAGTCCTCGCCGGAAAAGATAGTGGTATTTCTTAGCTCGATTTTGTCAGCATAGGAGTGAGAGATGACGGACAAGAGATGGGAGGAAGGACAAAGGCAGAAACAACGTCCTAGGGTATGGAATCCAAGGTCAATAACGGTGATTGTTGAAACTAGGAGTGAACGGCGTTGTGGTGGGATCGACGAGGACGACCTTCCAATTGAAGTCGGCGACGTTTTTTAGTTGGTATTATGTGTAATTATTTAATTGTTTAAGGTCATTTTGGGTGTTTGAAAGTTTCATTAAAGGGTTTAGTGCCTCTTGCAAGATAAAACGTATATCTACACATGCCACTTTGAATGTTAAGTTTTCCTAATTTATATTCTACTTGGAACCTCCAACATAGAACGTATATCTAACATGCAATCCGTCTGGACATTCGGATAAACTCTGAACATGAGAGACTCATTATGCTTTATGAAAACCCTTTTGAAAAACTATGCAACCCTTAAGACGTGGTGTTCATCTTAAATGAAATTACAATTATTAACCACAATAAGCCAGCGTCAATTTCAGGGAACTTTCCGACTAAAATTGCATCAAATTACTTTTCTAAAGATCTTAATGGTGACTAGGCATTAAGACAATTAGATAGTTTTAATCATGGTGATTAATAATTCAAAGTAAGCATGCAATCAATCATAAGTGATTAAATAAAAATTACATATTCATGATAAGGCTCAAGGTTTTGCCTTAACAAAATGAATTAGTTACCCATATTCATAATTAAAATCATAGAAAATATTATTATAAAGAAAAGGATTGAAAACACCTTAAAGTAGAAAATCTTCAAGAACCCTTGCAATTCTCTCTATCTCCAAAGTTTCATAAAAGCAAGCGTACCCAAAATTGAACACGGCAAAGTAATATACCCTGCTATGCCATCGCACAATCCCTAAAACTCAGGTCTTTTACTCCAACTAGGAAACTAAATAATAATAAAATAACTTAGAAAATAAAATCCTAATTGAACTAGGAGAATCTGCCAAGTACTTGTCCAGCCACGTTTTAGCCTCAAATATCCCCCAAATCTGGCCCATGATAGCTTGTTTTGAAGATCAGGACGTTCTAAACACATCTCTAAAAGGCCACGAACCCATCCGAGGTTATCTTGAGCTCCAAAAACGTAATTCAAACCCAAAATGTCTTTATTCCAGCACTGCGCATCGCTCCTTTATTTTATGGGAGTTTTAACGAAAAGCTCATGGTACTGTTCACTTTAACGAAAACCCACATTTTTACACTAAAAAATCAAACATGTTACTATTCACTTTACCCTTTATTTTGTCATTATCGTTAAAATTCAAAGTTTTCAAGCCTTTTACATTAGTTTTCCTTTATTTTATTGCCAGAAAGTCACCGCTAGGTAGAAAATTCCAAATTTTGACACAATCAAGCCAAGTGACTCACGAACGTCCTCCAACTGGAATTACTCCAAAATTCATCTATTTGACCGTGTTTTGCTCTAGAGAAAGTTGAAAGTCCTATATTAAAAATATAATTCAAAGTATCAAAAAAATTTCAAAATATTAATTAAAATATACTAAATATAGGATTAAATATATAATATAAAATATAGTAATCAATCACATTGAAAAATCTTTTCTTTTAAATAATAGCCGGCCAGAAATAAGAACTGGAGAGAGAAACGAGAACACAAGAAAGAAGGTGAAGAACGAGAGAGAGAGAGAGAGAGAGAGAGAGAGAGAAAGGTGAGCATTAATGGCGGCAGAGAAGCAAGTGATGGTGATCGGGGCGGACGACAGCGAGGAGAGCCACTACGCTCTGGAATGGACTTTGGATCACTTCTTCAAGCCTTTCGGCGGCGACACTGCTCCGTTCAAGCTCATCATCGTCCACGCCAAGCCATCGGTTTCCTCCGTCGTTGGCTTCGTCGGCGCCGGTAAGAATCTTAACTGCAACGGGAAGTGATCTCTGAAAACCTTTATGTGTTACCTGCTAATTAATCAATTGTTTGTTTAGTTAATTATGATTAGCTAATTTGCGTGTTGTGCCGAATTGCAGCAGGGGCGGAGATTCTGCCGATCGTGGACGTTGATTTGAAGAAGATGGCTGCCCGTGTAACTGAGAAGGCCAAGGAATTTTGCGCTTCTAAATCGGTATTTGTCAAATTTTATTTATTTGGTTTTTTATCGCACACCGTAATTGACCCCTGAAGAGAAAGTTACTCAAGTAACTCAACATAATAGTAATAACAAACAGTTAAAAGTTAGTTAGGAAAATTACCACACTTGTAACTTTCCTTTACTCTGTTAGTCTGTTGTATTTAGCTTCCATATAAATACTCTTGTAACTTATCCTTTGAGGTAATGAAAATCATTTCACAATATGGTATCACTCGCCTAAAGTCTCCCGACTAAGATCCTTCGTACGCTTCCTCTCATTTTCTTAGTAACCAAACAGGTCTCATTCCTGTCATTTTCTCTCTGCAATCAACAATCTATGGCGGCCAATTCTTCGACTTCTTCTTCCCCAGTGATCGCGCACCATCCTTCTCCTCCTGTGCTTGCTGATCCTCCTTCTTCTTCTCCAAATCCTCATCCTTCGGTTCAGTTGCCCACAAACCCTAATTCTTCAATTCAGGCCTCGATCAACTCGATTACGATACACAATATCGGCAGCATGATTCAGACTAAGCTCAAGCGCCATAACTATCTTGTGTGGCGATCTCTCTTCGAGCCGATCTTTCGTCGCTACAAACTTACCGGTATTGTTGACGGATCTGAACCTCCACCGCCTCAATTTCTTGCTGATGATTCTGGTCGATTCACCTCCGTTCCTAATCCAGACTATGAATTGTGGTATGAGAAGGATCAGAACATCATTATCTGGATCAATTCCACACTTTCGGAAGATCTGATTCCTTTCACTGTTGGTGTTCAATCTGCGCGAGAACTCTGGCAAAATCTTGAACGGCGGTTTGGCGGTGTATCTCGTTCTCACATTCATCAACTCCGTTCAACCTTGCAATCTGCCAAGAAAGGTTCATCTTCTATTTCGGAGTATCTCCAACGCATCAAGGAGGCTACTGATGCTCTTGCCGCCGCTGGTGCTCCTGTGGATGATCATGATCTACTTCTCATCATTCTCAATGGCTTACCTGATGAGTATGATTCTTTTGTGGATTCTGTTCAGTTTCGACTTGCTGATACTACTGTTGATGATCTTCACGGATTTTTGTTAAGTAAAGAAATGGCTCTTGCTCGCAAAGCATTCCACTCAAGGAACAAAATTCTGCACCCTATCAAGCTTTTCAGTCTATTCCAGCGTCTTCACCTCCACTCCTTCCTACACCTCAGGCGTATATTGCTCAGCCTCCTCATTCCTCTAATTTCAACAGAGGCAATTTTCAGCGCAATAATTCTCAAAGGAATTATAATAATCGCAATCGATACACTCGTAACCACATCAACAAGAATGCTTCTAATCGTGAAGGAAATCGTAATGGTGAAGGATTTCGTAATGGTGCTCGGTTCTTTAACAATAATTCCAGGAATGTTCCTTGTCAAATCTGTGAAGACACTGGTCATCAAGCGATTGACTGCTCCAATCGTATGAATCCCAATTTTCAAGGCCGTATTCCACCAGCTAAGCTTGCTATGTATGCTCGCTCAAATGCCTCTTCTTCTCCTCCGTGGCTACTTGACTCTGGAGCAAGCTCTCATATGACCAACAACCTCCAAAATCTTCAGAATCCACAACCTTACAGTGGCCCCCGATAAAGTCTACATTGGAGACGGCCAAGGTTTGCCGATTCTCCACTCTGGTTCCTCGTTACTTCATACTCCTTCTGCTACTTTTAAATTACAAAATGTGTTGCATGTTCCACACTTGAAGCATGATCTTGTTTCTGCAAATATGTTTCTTAGAGACAATTGGTGTTCCTTAACTCTAAATCCTTTTGACTTTCATGTCAAGGATCTTACTACGGGGAGGATGCTTTTTAGAGCTCCTGTTCGCTGTGGTCTCTATCCCTTTTCTGCATCTTCTCAGTCTTCATCGAAGCATCATGGTCTTACTGCACTCAAGGCATCACAACACACTTGGCATCAACGTTTGGGGCATCCAACGTTCAAGACTTTGCAATCTGTGATCTCAAAGTCTTCCTTGCCTTTATCTACTATTGTCAAACAATCTTTCTGTTCGAATTGTGTTTTAGGCAAATGTGCCAAGTTACCTTTTCAGAATTCTATTTGTCATTCTTCTAGATCTTTAGAGTTGGTTCATGCGGATGTTTGGGGTCCCGCTCCCCTGTCTTCTATCAGTGGATATCGATTCTATGTCATATTTGTTGATGACTTTACTAAGTACACTTGGCTGTATCCTCTCAAACATAAATCAG